TAAAGGTTTCCAATCTGTGTACACTATTTCTGGGAAGAAGGCTTTTTCTTCAGCAGGAGTAGTCCAAGTGTTTCCTCTATACACACTGCTTCTGGGCAACTAGAGTGAGCAGTGGAGGAGAGGTCAGAAAATGCAACTGGACACTCATGACCCACGCTCAGAATAGCCCAGCCCAGACCAGGCCCTGCCTTCCCAGCTGACAGGTTTTCATTGGTGCCTCCTCAGCAGCGACCTTCTGGATCATTGTGATGACTACAGAATGTCTGTCAAGCCCCAATTTTCTTTAGAATACTACCCCCTTCTAATCACACACCCCTGTAGCAATGCCCCCCTTAATCCACACAACAGAGATCAGAGAAAACCAGACTCAAATCATTAGGATTTCATGGTTGCAAAACCTTGAGGTTCTACCTCATCTCCAAAAAGACAAAGGCCACCATTTCACCATTTTAGTCTCTTCAAATGATAGAAAACAAAAGAGGATAAAGCAGAGGTGTTTTATAGCTTCCTGTTAGAATCAACACAAATATGAAGGCAGTACAAAAATGAAAATGATTCCTATAAAGCCAAACAGAAGTATATCAAGGGTAAGACAAAGGCTAAATTATTTCATATGAATATGGATCCTAAAAGAAACAAATATCTCAAAAATTTAAACAAAACTATAAGAAAATTATATAAAGTAAATCTATATAAACTTGTTTTCATTTATACTTTCTTTTCATATTCATTTATTCTTTCTTTTCACTAAGATTTAGTATCTATTCTGTCTTACTTTTTTACTTATCTAAAATCCTTCCTCAAAATTCCAAACACATGCAACACCCCGACATGGGTAGATATGGAAAACTGTGCTTTCTCTTTGTCAGGTGGGAGCACTTCCTGTTGGGACTCAATCATGAAGGGAAGAGGGGAACTGTCACAGTACATCAAAATAGCTTTAAGGAGCCCCTCAAGCCTCACAAATGGAGACACATTTCAGCCCACACCATCTCACAGCACTTCATGTTTCTTAAGTCTCTGATGCAGCTTGATGTAAGAGGTCCCTCCTCATGTCGGAGTTGCCAAGGCCACTGGGAGTTACCTCCTCTAACAGCCAATGCTTATCTCAAAGGATAAGGTGGAGTTTGCTCTTTTCCCCTCTTGCGAAATATGAGATTAGTAAGTAATCTGTTTATACCACACAGATCCAAATCCAAGCTGACTTTTTGTAGTATAAAATAGTCATAGGATTTCATCCTATTTGGAAAAGCTACCTGAGATTCTTGCTTCCTACCTCAGTCTTGGCTCACCTGTCGAAACCTGGCCACATCCCCACCTATGAGGCCCAGGAGCTCCCCATGGTCAGCACTTCTGCATCAGACTACAGCCAATTGGTCACCTACAGGCCAATTCTGTGGAATTGCTTGGGCAGCAACTTCAGCCTTTCAGAACAGAAACAAATAGTAACATCTGAAGTGGTGAAATTTGTAAATTAGTTGATACATAGAAACTATTGCAACTATTCCCTGCCCAAAATGTGATTTAAATAAAAGCACAGACATAAAAGCTTCAAGTTATTTAAAGATTAAAATTGGCACTGGGTTCCCTTTTTAGAGAGTGATCTCTAAGCCAATAACACATGAGGGAAATTGTATTAAAACTAGGTCTTCAAATAAGCACCACAGAGATAAAAATTCATTAAACTAAAGATGACTCCTTTTCCGACTTACTCTATTCTAAGAGAATTTTGCAACTGATGGTTTCCTCTGGAGATTTTAGAATGTAGATAGGTGTCACGCCACCCACTGGGAGTAAAGTTGACCAGGGTGAACTAAGGGCATGGTGTGACGTCTCAGTCTCTGTTCTGCCCCAGCCCAACCCTGGAATTACAAGTAACTAGGAGAAGAACAGCTGGCTCTTTGGGCATCAAACTGAGCTGAACCCACTCACTGGGAATTAGGAGACCCAAAGGTGCATTTTTTAATTTAGAGGAGTTCCTTTGTTGTGTTTTTGGGTTTTGTTTCATTTTGTTTTGGTTTTTGAGATAGAATTTTGCTATGCAGTTCAGGCTGGCCTTGAACTCACTCCATAGCCCAGGCTGGCCTCAAACTTATGCTGATCCTCCTGCCTCCATCTCCCAAGTTCTGGGAGGTGTGTGCCACCATGCTTAGCAATGCATTGTTAAAGCATGAACATTTGAAAGTAACTGGAGCTACTGGACCATAGTCAAGTTAATAATGATTTATTAGGAATATCTTTTTCTGTGTAAACCACTGTAAAAAAAGTTTTAAGTTTTATTTTAATCATGTCTATTCTAGAAGCAAAAGAAATAACTTCTTGAATAAAAGGAAACATAACATTGCATACATGTAAGGTGTTCTAACTCCTTATTCTTTAAATATCTGAGCCTTAAACTGGAACATTCCTTTCTGTCATAAATGTACAAGAAATTCAGCTCCTCAAACTCTAGATCACATTTATTTGCCCTCAAAGACCCCCTTCTTTATGCAATTAAAATATGAGATGGGTTTATATCTTTGAGAAAATTTTTCCCACTTAAAGCATGAACCATTATCAGAAGTCTTGACAGTCAAGTTCTTTTCAACCACTGGAATGATAGATGTGCCATAAGCCTAGGTCCATTTCAACTTCCCACTAACCCTGGAGTCATCTAAAATCCAAGTCCTCCACCCCCATCAGTGAAGCAGGGGAGGGTCAGGAGGGAAAATGGGAAGGGCACTGAATAAGAAACAGAATCCCCAGCTGTACTTCCAGTGTTCTACTGTAGGAGGCCTGCACACCCTGAAGCTCTTCACTGAACAATGATTCTGTAAGCCACCATCATTTGCTATGGCTTCAGGATTCAGTGAAAGTTAAATAAGCATGCCTTGAGGGAAACGTAAGCAGCTCAGGCACTAATCAGCATGAAAGATAATCACTTTAAGGGTCTTACAAGAAGGGAAAAGTCAGACTAAAGCACTTGCTTAGGCAGCGCAGCCACAGGTGTTCCATCTCTGGCATGCCATGTGAGCCCCGTCCCCGGGGCACACTGAGCTGGGAGTGAGACTGGGCGTGGTGGCACACGCCTCTACTCCCAGCACTTGGGAGGCTGAAAACAGGAGGATCACTATGAGTCTGATTTGTGTATTGAGACCCTGTACACCCTTGTACTAAATACATTTTTTAAGTGAAAAAAAATGGAAAAGAATACAAAGCCATGTGGCAAGTATAATTGTCAAAAAGCCAACACATTTGAATTTTATAAGCATTTGTACTATCTTTGGTGTCTTTTTGTTTCTTTCCAAGGAAACCTGGCTATAGATTTGCATGCTGTTCATTTCCATTGCTCATTCATATTGAATTTTTAATTTTGTGCTTGAAAGTCAAGGGAAATAATTGAGGAACTACTCTTCTGAGGCAAAGTTTTAAAAAAAACTACGATATGCTATTGCGGTACAATGCTGTCTATCTTACAGACATCATGAACTCCAAGATGTTCATCTCCTATGAACTCCACTAGGATTTCATTGTCAAAGGAAAACGCTACAGGATATCTCCCTTCCGAGGTATTTCCACTTTCATTGTCCTAAATCTACAGGGTTTTTACTGACACTTGTATTTTTCATACCTCAATGCTATGGCACTAATGACTTTACCTTCTGTTTGTCAGGGGAACAGTGAGCCAGTCACTGCTGTGGGGATTCAGCATCAGGAACCACAAAACTATTAAGAAAACACTTTTATTTCTTTCATCAACTTCATATTTTTCCACAGTCATGTTGCAAAAATTCAAGGAACCCATAAAACAATATGAAAGAAAATACTGCAGTTTCCTTTTTCCTAAGAAACTTCAGCAACAAATTGTTAATAGTCTCAAGAGCATAAATGTGGGAAGTGGGGGTAGCATGCCAATACTGCACACTGCACAGGCAGGCGAAACAGAAACCACAGCACAGCCACACCACTCAGGCTGTGCAGCGTGATGCAAGGCAGTTGTCCACCTTCAACCCCATGTTCTCTCTGCTTGAGGAATCACTCCAGGACATGCAACCCCAGCCTCCTTCCCCATTTGAATTGTCCTTTGGGTGCCTTTAATGCTTAAGACTGATCACATGGCTCAATAGCAAGTTCCACTTAGTTTTGAGTACTGCCTATCTATGCCCCCAGTTAATTTATGAAAATCTCCTATCATAGTAACTTGTATACCTGTGATGCACTCACATAATTACTTCCATGAATATTAATGAAGCCCCAACTTCTCACTAGCACACAGGTATCACGGCTCCCACATTACTGTTAAGTGAAAGGTGAGGGGGAGAGGTGCAGTAAAAGCATCACGGCACTGGCCAACACAGACTCTTCCTTGGTTTCTAACAGGCACTGGAAGCATAGTGAAAGCAGTGCCTGAGAGGGGTTTTTAAGTCAAAAATACTTGCCCATCCTTTCTTAACTTAGACTCATCTGTGATTACCACTCTTCGTGTCCTCAGGGTAACCCATTTCCCATAACAGTGGTGTCATTCCCTCCTGCAACATCTGTTTCTCTCTCCTACAAGCTACAAAAAGATAGATAGATAATAGATAGGTAGATATAGATCTGTATCTATCTATCTATATCTATATCCACAGCTACATTTATACCTATATCTATATCTATTAGAAGGTGCTGCCTAGCACATTTATATAAATCTAGCAGCTTCCTGGAATTAGTCATTGGAAAGTTGTTAATAGTATCTTGTAAAATATTTATTTCTGTTGCAGGCAGACCTACAACAAGCATCTCTTTTAAAATAAGACTTTAAAAAAATGGTTAAGACTACACTGACTTAGATTCTCAGGGTTCAGTGAAGTTCTTAAAATACTTTCTGTGTTGAAGCAAAATGTAGAGATTAAAGCAATTCCATAGCCAAGCTTTGGTTTTTAACTTTAAAAAATGCAAGACACACAAAATGCACAAATTCTGTTATCTACAGAGACACAGGGATATGAATGATCACTTTCCCAGACCCAAAAGCTCACCTTCTACTTCTTCTTCATCACACACGTGCTTGAGGAAGGAAGCCCCTCTGTCCAGGACAGCTTCATCCTCCATCCTATAGTAATAAAAAAGAAAAAAAGAATGCTCAGACCTCTCCTGGAGTGAGGCGCCTGCAGCAGCCCAGCTCCGGGGCAGGTTAACCTGCAGGCTGCCGCTCATGTTAGCAGGGCACAGTCGCTCTTCCTCAGGGGTTGCTGCTCCTTCACACAGCTCCTCTCTTCGGGTGCTTGAGAACACACCAGTCCCACATAGCTTCAGTCCTGCCCTTGAGAGGGCACCCCCATGAGCAGGTGACAGAAAACAATCCTGATCCTGCCGGCTGGCTACTGGGGTCTCTTCCCTTTGGGCTTTGCAAAAAGAGGATGAAAGAAAAAAGAAAAAAAAATACCAAGAGAGGAAGTTTGGTGTGCCTGGAGTGCTCGTGATGATCGTTTGTAGAAATCCAGTTCTCAGTGCTTAGCTCTTTAAACACCCACTGCACAAAATGTATACCCTCACACACGCACATACACACCCACCCACAGGCACAGAGCGGCAGAGAGGGAGCTCATGCAGAGTGGGAGCCTAGCTTCCAGCCAGGCTCTTAATACCAGCACAGCCCAGTATTCTCTGTCGAGTGGCAAGCTTTGAGTCACATGTCGGCCTCAAAGAAACCTGACATCTGAGGATTATCCTGCACCCCGGCTTCAGCAATAGGCACATACATGTGCCACACATTCATTCATTTTCCATATTCTTCTCCTATGTCTCTCTCTACGTATAGCTGCCCTGTTAACTCTTCCCTGAAAGTTCTCCATTTTGTAATCACATTATGCTGTCCTCCTGTCTCCTTACATAATAGGATCTACTCTGAAATTTCATATGCTAAATAAGATCTCCAAATCCACCCAAGGAATGACAGTGTTTTTATAGCCTCCTGATGCCAAACATGTTTCTAGTTTACAGAAGGACTTAAGGTTTATTTCTATACTCTGTGACTCCTTCCCATTGCATTAACTTTAATATGCAGAATTCCATGAACTCTATTTATAGTGAAAGCAGAGAGAAATCCTGAATTGCTCAAATGTTGCTTGTGTAGTACCCGTCTAGAAACAAAGAACTTTCTCCAGGGACAGCTGCTCCATGTCATACTGTGTATGACCCCTGCCAGAGAATCAAATGTTCACTCTGTATTCTATTCATCCGATTATATGCACACACATTGAACACTATAAGTACGTTTTCCATATGCAGAACTTATTCTTGTACTTCAGATATCTGTTATACTCTATGTGAATGTGCACTAAACTATTTTAGGACCATATTTCACAAAGCAAAGCAACCAGCTGAGTATAAAAAGCCAGAAATGTGGTGTCAGCCCCATGTTTAAAAACAATTTCATTCTGTCACTTAGCAGCTCCGTCATCTGGAGCAAAGTACTTAACTTTCTTGAACCTCTATTTTTGCATTATAAAATGAGGTTAATAATATCAACCTTGTACACAATACTGTAACATCAAACTATACTGACTGTAATTCAGTTTTGGTTGCATATCTAAAAGCACCTCAGCCCAGGATCCAGCAGATGCTGTATTGTTTAATAAATGTGTCTCTTTCCTTCTTTCTCTTTCACCTTGACCAACCTAGGTTGGACAAAGCCATTAAGGACAAAGCCTCTGGACATGTGCAAGATCTCTTCTATCAGGATATGCACCTTATATGTAATGGTTCACCCTGATATAGATTAGGATTGTTTCTTCTACATACTCAAATGAAATACAAAAACAGGATGTGAAGTCAGCCATCAAGAGCATAGTAGAGGCCCACAGGACCTGTCCACTCCAAATCCAGGCATGCAGTGTGAGTGAGACCCTCTTCTGCACCCTTGGGAGCCCACCACCACCACTCTGCAGCCTGCCCCAAACCCACACAGTGAGTGAGAACTTCTGCCGTTTTCTCACGACCCCCAGATCCAGCCCTAACCCAGGCCCGGTGAGTGTATGGGAGAGCTTCCCCTCTCACCTACTCCCCCTTGTCCCCTTCAGACTCAGCTCAGGCCTGGTATACAGGCCTGGGGTGAAACCCTGCAGCTGCAGTCCCTGCAGAGAGAGTAGGGGACAGAACTACCCAGCTAGTCCAGGAGCAGAACATCTCACCAGATGGGCACAACAGGTTCACTCCCAAGGGCTGCAGCAGTAGGGAGCTGAGCAAAGCAGCCAGACCTAAGCCAGGTACAAATGGATAAATTCAAACTTTGTAGATCTGCACCTGAATTTCAGTAGGTGCTAAGATTATAACTACAACCAAAGCTCCACAACAAAGGTCAGAAGACAGTGCTACACAAAATGACAATGAGAAGGTGCAAAATGCAATCTCAGACCCCAAGCCCACCCATAACAAGTGCAGAGGACACCAGCACAGAACAAATTGGGAATCACACAGCTGAAATCAATGCATCAACAGCTTCTGAAATAAAGAAACAATTGCATAAAGGTATAGAGGAACTCAGATCGAAAATAAAAAAAGAAATGTCTAATTAACAGCATCTGAAGTAAAGAATCAAATGCAGAAACATATGGAGGAAGCCCAGTGCTCACCCAGAACAAGTGCATAGGACACTAGCTCAGCTGAAATGTACAAATTAATAGTGTCAAAAGTAAATAAGCAACAGCAAAAAGGTATAAAGGAACTCAGAGTGGAATGATTTTATGAAATAAAAAAGAAATCTCTGAATTCAAGCCAAGAGAATAGCAAGTGCAAATGGCCTACAGTGGGAACAAGTTCAGCACCTGCCAGAAACAAAAGAAGCAAGGTCACCTGCTGGAGCTGATCGCAGGGGTCATGGGGGCCAGAACGCTGGGTGCCATGAGAGCCATTGGGGAGTTCTAAGGTGCAGAATGGTTAGAACTATTTTACCTTTTTGAAGGATAGCTCTGGCTGTGATGTGAAAAATGAGTAATTAGGAGTTAAACTAGAAAACTCTGTGGGACCCAAGGAGCAGCTGGGAGATGGAGGTTGCTGCAAGTAATCAGTTTCTTCAGACACGCTAAAGTTAAGATGTCGGTCTCAGGCAAACATGCAGCTTTCAGTGCATAGCTGGCTGCCTGTGTTGAGGGCTCAAGAGCTCAGGGCTGGAGAGCAAATTTGGGAAACCAAAGAAAACAGCTGGCATTGAAGCTGATACTCTCTGTGATCATCCAGGAAAGAAATAGAGACATGAAGGAGTAGACCTAAGATCAACTGCTAAAGCACACTGATATTTACAAGTAGAAAAATTAAAAAGTTAGGATAGGGTTAGAAAATGTAGCTCAGTCCTTGCCTACCATATACACAGCCCTGGGTTCCATCCCCAGCACCAAAAG